TCTTCATTAAATCTTTTCCTAATATATGTGAGAAGTTTTCAAAATAAGTTCAGATAGGATAAGGTATACTTTTCCCGGTCCTAAAAGTGGAATGGGGCACAAGATAAGGATGTCCCTAATACTCCTTTCCTCTTAGTTACTCTCAGTCCTTAATACCAGGGTTAGCATTAACAAGTGACATTTTCTCAATCAAAAACCAAGAGGATAAGAAGTAGTTGGTATTGTCTTCTTTGTTATTATTCTCAATGATCATATCCTAAGAGCAAGGAGAACTGAATTGGCAAAAAGTGTTGAAAGCTGATGGAAAGATTGTGGTTTTGCAGATTGTGTACACTGTCGAAGAGAGAAAAATTGAGGATTAGACTGTGGAAAGAAAATCTCTGAAGTGCCCACCATTCCGTAGTGAATGAGTTTTTTTTTTTTTAAATCAAATATAAATATAGGTTTATATATTTAAAATTTAAGGGTAAGTAAAGAGATATTTTAAGAACTATTTGATGAAAGTCTTCACGTTGCAGGCAAGAAAAAGCTATTTTTATTGTTACAGTGTGTATTCATAACAATGCTGTCTTAATACCAAAGGCAGGTATGTACACAGAAATGCAGGAATTAAAAAGAGCAACTCTTCTGTCCATGTGATTCATGAACCCTTCTGAACACAGACATTTAGGTCAATATAAGGCCCTCAGACTGTTTTTCATTACTCATCCTTTCCATTTGGTTTCACAGTTATTTGTGAGCACTCAAAAAGATTATAAATTTCTTAAAATAATTTCCACTTTGGACCCTTTTCATCCAAGGATCATTTGTGCTACTGTGTAGAATCTAGCATAATTCTGAGGAGTAATTAGAATAGGTAAATCTCTTTTTAAAATTTTTTTCATTTCATTTTCTTTTATACATTCAATCACATTATTATTTGGCTTACAAAATGGATATTTCAACAGATGAATATTTCTCCCTAGTACAGTTGATAAAACTATGAAATATCTTCAACAGATAATACCACATTTCTTTGTGCCATTAATGCTTTGCCTCCCTATTTTTCTTCTAAATGTCCTTCCTCAGACCTTCCTCTTTCACACACACTATATCCAGTATTTACATCCATATACTGTGTTTCTATATCCTTTAGTCAATCAGTTTCAGTCAGGGTGCGGACACTCGGTATATATTAAGTGAGGACATACGATGCCTCTCCTTCATAGCCTGGCTTGCTTCACTCAGCAGTAAATCTTCCATATTCATCTGCTTCCTGTCAAAAGCCAGGTGTCTTTTTTTATGGCTGAATAGTATTCCATTGAGTATATATGCCACAGTTTTTCTATCCATTCATCTGTTCGTGGGCATTTGGGTTGTTTCCATGACCTAGCAATTGTGAGTAGTGCTGCAATAAACATCGATGTGCAAGCATTTTTCCGATTAAGTATTCTTCTATCCTTTGGGTAGATACCAAGAAGTGGGATTGCTGGTCATATGGTAGTTCTATTTGTAGATTTTTGAGGAATCTCCAAGTTGTTCTCCACAGTGGCTGGACCAATTTACATTCCCACCAGCAGTGTAAGAGAGTTCCCCTTTCAACACACCCCTGCCAGCACTTATCATTTTTTTGTTTTTTCAATCTTAGTCATTCTGACTGGGGTTACGTAGTATGTCATTGTTTAGATCTGCATTTTCCTTACAATGAGGCATGTTGAGCATTTTTTCATATGCCTTTTAGCTATTCGTATGCCATATTTAGAGAGTGGTTTTTTCAACTCATTCTTCTATCTTTTAATAGGATTGATAGTCTTTTTTTGGAACAGCTGCTTGAGTTCCTTGTGAATTCTGGTTATCAGTCCCTTATCTTATGCAGTTTACAAAAATATTTTCCCATTCTGAGGGCTGTCTATTCATACTAATTACTGTCTTTTGCCATGCAGAATGAATAAGAGCCAGTGACAAAAAGTGACTCCTTTTTTCCATATTCTGAAGCACATATAGTCACAGCCTCTACAGTTATTTAATAAATTCCCAGGATATATTACTCAAAAGGATTGTTTTGTCCCTGAGTTCCTGTTCAGTTTTGAGAATTCTTTTTTTTAAATATAAGTCATTGGTCAGGTAAGTGGTTTGCAAATATTTTGTCTGTAGTTTGTCTATTTTGAGCAATCACTTTTAATTTTGAGGTCAAGTCTACCTTTTTTTTTTCTGTTATGCACCATGCTTTTGGTGTTATGTCTAGAAATTCTTCACCAGCTTTTAGGGTAATATTTTTTCTCATGTTATCTTTGATATTTTGTTTTAAACATATGATCTATTTTGAGATAATTTGTGTCATAAAATGTGAGGTTTAGGTCAAGATTTTGTTTTTAAAGCTCAGGGATTCCTTAAGCATCATTTGTTGAGAAAACTATTCTATTCTATTTAATTGCTTAGATCTTAATTTCTTTCACTAGTGTTTTGTAGTTTTAATACATAAGTAGCCTGCATGTTTTGTCTTATTTATACCTAAGGTTTCTTTTCATCTTATTGTGCTGAGTAGAATTTTCCATTTTATGTTGAATAAGAGCAGTGAGAACTGACATTCTTGCCTTGTTCCTGATCATGGGGAGAAGCATTCAATCTTCATTATTAAGCACAATGTTATTTATTGTAGGCTTTTTGATGATTTTATTAAATTGAAGAAGTTCCTCTCTATTCCTAGATCTTTTTCAGCTGTTTTGTGAAAACAATAGGTGTAGAATTTTGTCAAATGCTTTTTCTGTATCAAGATTTAGTCATGTCATGTTTCTTCTTTGGCCTATTAATATAGTGACTTACACTGACTGATTTCTGAATATGAAACAAGCCTTGATTTTGAATATTCTGACCAATATCCTTAATGAACATGGAAAAAAAACCCCTTGTTTTTTAAATTATTATTTACATTTGATCACCAGACATATTTATAGTGTACAACATGGTTTTCCTGGCATGAATACAGTGCATATAAGTCATGTCAGACACATTACTATATACATTATCATCAAGTAACTTTTTATTTGGAAATATTCTAAAGACAATTCTAGCCACCTGTACTCCTTTTCTATTGTTGCCATCACAAAGTGCCAAAATTTAGTGACTTAAAATCACCAAGAATTCCTTATTCTCTCACAGATCGAGGCATCCAATATCAGTTTCACTTGGCTAAAGCCAAAGTGTAGACAGGGTTGGTTCTATCTAGAGTCTCTAGGGGAGACTCCATTTCCTTGCCTCTTGTCTCAAGGAGACACCTATATTCTTTGGCTGATTCTCATGGTGCTCTATTTCTCCATATTTAAAGACAGAATCTTAGTATCTTCAAATTTCTCTGCCCCTATGCTCTGTGGTAACATCCCCCTTTCTGATCGACAGTTTCTGCCTCCATCTTCTGAGAAGCTTTGTGTTTACAATCCAGTCCTTATGGGTAATCCAAAATAATCTCCTCATTCAGGATCCTTAATCACGTTTACAAAGTCTCTTTTGCTACGTAAGGCAATAAATTCACAAGTTTTGGGCATTAAGAAATAAACATCTTGAGGAGAAATTTTCCTTTCTTTCTAGAGAGATTTTTGCTATAGGTAGGGCATGTGTGCTTACTGGTGAGACAGACAGAAAGTGAAAAATCACCTCGCAGAGGAGATAGCCATGCTGAAATCCCTTCTTCTCCATTCTCCTCTTGGGATTTTTGGGCATCCACGCATATGCACCTGGCGTGAGTTTTAAACTGCCAGATTCAGGACTCGAATCATAGTTGACTGCATGGTAGTACAGTGATGTAACCATTACGCCACCTGTTAGTCTCAGAGGAGACATTTTTCAATCTAATATATTATTTTTTATTTTCGTTTTAGTATTAGGATGATATTGTGTAGTCTCATTTTGATCTTTGTGACAAATTTCTGCTGTGGTATTAAATTTTAAATTTTGTAATTTTCTTTTTCTTGTTGTTGTTTTCCTGTGAGTTGGTAATTTGTGATGAGTGCTTGTCTGGTTAATGTTGACATACACTACGACATAGGTAGTATAGGTATACCGTCACTCATTACATAATACACACAATGCTTTGCCATCTAATTTTATAACAAAAGGATCCATACTTCAGTAGTCCTTTAATATGCGACATTTAGTAGCCATTTTTCTCTTGTTTTGACCTGAAGAGTATGTACTGGTATTTTTTTTTTTTTTATTGCAATAAAGCAGTATTTGTGGCAGTTGAAATGCTGTCAAGTTACATCTGTGTCATTGTGATTTGAGGTCTCCCAAGCAGTAGTACAAAGTGACAGGTACACCACATACAACCCCTGCCCTAACTATTCAACGCCATGATAGCATAAAAGCAGACATAAATAATAGATAAATGAATGAGCATCACTGTATTCCAGTAACATTTTATTGCTGGATACCAAAATTTGAATTTCATACAATTTTAACATGTTACAAAGTTTTATTCTCCTTTTGATTTTTTAAAAAACATTTAATAATGTAAAAACTATTCTTGGCCTACAGGCCATAATTCGCCAACCCCTGCCTTAACCTCATGGTTCTATATTCTCAAAGGTGGAAGGAAAATATTAAAAGAGTAAGTAAGTGAACGGATAAATACATCAAACAATTTTGTGTTGTATGGAAATTAAATAGGAGGATGGTCAGGAAAGGTGTCTCTGAGGGAATGAGTAAAGTGAACCTGAAGGATAAGACAACCACAAGTTGAGTACAGAGTGTGCTCTATTATAGAACAAGTGAATATTAAAGGCAAATATAAAAGGTAGGTTCAAGTTTGAATTGGAGGAACCAAAAAGGGTATGGAAAGAACACAGTAAAGAGATGGAATGTGCCAGGAATGTTCAGAATCTATACAAGGTTGCCACCATTGTTAAGAAGGTAACTAGCTGACCACAGTGGGAGTTCTGTTAGAGTTAACCTAATTTTATACACTGGGTGTGTGTCCCTTGCTATTATATATGACCACTCAAAGTATTATGAATTTAAAAAAGAAAGAGAGGGAGAAAAGGTTTTTATTTTTGCCAAATGGTTCTAGAAAAATACAATATCACGTATATAATCCAGTATATCAATGAAAACAGATACAAGTGGAGCGCACAATTTATTTCATTAAATGCTCATCCTAAGATGTGATGCTTCACTTCATATCTGCTTACAATTTAAACGTGTTGCTCACTGGATCACTTAAGACTGTTTATAGCAGTTTTATGTTGAAAGCCTAGTTTCTTTGTAAAACTTGAAACATTAAATCCTTACTTTATACTTTTTCTTTTTTTACTCAGACCAGTTTGTATGTGCCAAGCTTGCTCTAGTTTCTTCTAATGCACTGGAAGGAAAATCATTTTTAAGTTTGCATTGATTTGTGGCAATATTTGTATTCAACAATCAAATGCAACACTACTTCTTTTTAAATGGCTATGCTCTTAATTAGTTTCACTTGCTTAATTAGTTTTAGAGACTTCTTATTTTGGTATTGAACATGACTATTGACAGATGAAGCAGATACTGTATCACGAGTGCAACGCATGCTTTCTAATCACACCACATAAAAAGTTTTCACTTCCGGAAAAAAAAAAGCGCTCTCCATTGTAATGTCATCTAATATCCTTCATAATTGTAAAATATCCTTCGACTAGTTTCTTTCTTTCATTTATTTTCTCCAGCACTGCTTCTAGTAAATATGATGCAAAAGGAAGCTGTAAAAGAAACACAAATAAAAGATGATCAAAACTCTGTATTTTATTCAGTTCAAAAACATACAACATATCATTAAACCATTAGAACTTAGCTATCTACAACTTTGCACCTATAATGGCACCCTCTTGGATCTCTTTCCAACTTATTTTGCTGGTTAGTATTGGTAATTTTGTCTTTTCTAATAAAAATGATAAAAGAGCAGAAGTAAAATGAAAAAAGATAAACGCCTTATTGAACAATTCATGGTTTACTGACCATGTTAATGATGTAATCTGCAATACAAGCAGCTAAGCCATTTATCTTCAATCAGCTGATCAATAGCAGGTTACAGTCATCTCTAGGGCACACAGGCCCACAGAAGTAGTACTGTATGTTCATCACTCATAAAAGATTGAGAGAGAACTATCAATACCCTTGTCTGTGTGAGAGCCAAACATCTCAAGAGCTATAAGGTAGAACTTGAAAGGAAAAAAATGGCAGAAGTATACCCATTGATTAAGTTGTTATAGGAAAGTAAGTTTGGCATATCAAAGTGTAATACATACGTTACAAACTGCTGAGTTTATGGAACGTAGAGAACATTTTTAAATTTCATAATTTATATAACTTTTCTGTAAAGTTTTATTGTTCCTTCTGCTTCACTGGGTTGCTTATAAAAACTAATTCATATAATACAGTTATGAGTATAAGTAAAAGAAAATCTGAAATGCTGCCCCAATGATCTCCCCTAGCCCTACTAACTTTCCTTTATCCTTGGTCCCAACTATCAAGTCTTACATAGAAGTCTATCACAATTAAGAAGCTCATTAAGTCATTTCCTGGACTTGTTCCCTTTTGTTAAAAGGTTATTTCTTCCAAAAGAGAGAGGTCCCTATGCTGTAATTCAGCCCCAGCTTCAGCCAGCTCTGGGTCATGGGTAAGCCATGTGTGCCTGGTGTGTGTACAGGGAAGCCTTAGGGTGGGAACCCAGGACCTTCTCAAGCAGATCCAGCATCGCTGAGCTTGTGTTACTGTTGTGCCACTGGCTGGCACAGGCTTGTCCTTTTGATTAACCAGGGAAAGAATAATTTTACTTCCCTGAATGTTAATAAGAATACTACGATGGGGACCAGCAGATGGTGTAATGGTTATGTCACTGGACTCCCACATGGTCTACTGCAGTTTGAGTCCCAGACCCGGTGACTTAAAACTCATGCCAGGTACATGTGTGCGTGTCCAAAATCCCAAGAGGAAAATGGAGAAGGAATTGCGACGTGGTCATCTCCCTGGGGGGTGATTTCTCACTTTCTGTCTCTCTGTCTCTCTGGTGACCACATGTGCCCTATAGCAAAAATCTCTCTAAAAATAAATGAATACTATGATGTCCAGTCTCTTCTTTACAGGGAAGTAGCATCAAGGTGATGCTAAGATGATCACTGAGGGACTCACTGGTTAGCACTTGACCAAACACAGCCTGATGTCCTCTGTATAAGCTGCTTAGCTAGATTCAGCTGAGCTGACTGTAATTAGCTAAAGCAATAATAATGGTCTTTCCTGAATTTAAACTCGTGAATAGAGAGAATTGGCCATGGCAGTGAGACTACAGGGCACACAGGCATAAACAAACGGACTCTACAGGACATAAAAGAGAAATTAAGACTGAATGTGGTCCATAGAACTGCCTCAGTCTTAAATAACTTTCTACTTTAAATTACTTTCCATCTTTTTTTTTTTTTTGAAAGGTTTTCATTATAGGGCGCATGCGCTTGCCAGAAAGACAGAGAGAGACAGAGAGACAGAAAGCAAGAAATCGCCCCAGGGTTGGGGGGAGGATGGCCACGCCGCAATCCCTTCTCTTCCATTCTCCTCTCGGGATCTTGGGCACACACGCACACACGCCCGGCGTGAGTTTAAGCCCCTAGGTCTGGGATTCGAACCGCGGTCAACTACATGGTAGGCCAACGACACAGCAATTACGCTAACTGCTGGTCCCTCCATATTTTCTTTTTAAAGATTTATTTATTTATTTAATTTTATTTGTTATTATTATTTATTTTTTAATTTGACCAGAGAGAGAGAGAGAGAGAGAGAGAGAGAAAAGCAAATGGAAAGTGTGAAAGCAAACCATCAGGTCTGGGAGTCTAATGGGAGTCGACCAAGTGGGAGTCTAGTTCCCTAACCACCATACTTTGCTGGCCCCAACTTCCTTTCCATCTTTATAATAATCTGCTGTCTTCTTAAGGTGGTCTGAGTCTGTGTCTGTCTCCCAGAAACATAACACCTTCACACATTTGTCTTACTTGAAACTATCACTTGAAAAGGTATAAATTAGGAGCCAGCAGGTGTTGTAGTGGTTAAGGCACTGAAAAACCACATAGCTGACAGCAGTAAAGTCCCAGACCCTGTGGGTTAAAATGCGTGCGTGCCTCTATGATAGAGAACAAAAAATCGGAGGACATAAAAGCAGTGAAGGTACTTAATGAGAATAGGACAGTGTGGAATGGGGTAAGTGAAGAGAAGAGGATAGAGAAAGATAGCAAGTAAACAATAGCAAGGCAGGACGTTAGTGAGAAACAGATATGGCTTATTAACTGTTGATGATGACATGTATAGTATTCTCAACTGGCTTGGGCTGAGAAGTATTTCATGATAGGCAAAGTATTTTTACAAGCAAAATGAGAAATAGCAATTGACTGTTTTAAAAAATAATTAGAATAATAAAAATAATGATTGGGGAAAACATAGAAAAGATATTGAATGTTGAAGTGGGGAGATTAATGTCTCTGTACTGACGGACATGCATGGCATTCCCTTTTGAAAAAACAATGTAATACACTGTAAATCTATATGTAATCCAATGTAATATAAAGAAGATTATGATGATGATAATAAAAAAAAAGATGCATTCTACAATAAAAATGAATTGTAGGAAAAAAAAAATGCGTGCGTGCATGGGGACCAGCAGTTAGTGTCGCTGGACTCCCATGTAGCTGATTGTGGTTCGAGTCCTGGACCCGGTGGCTTAAAATCACACCAGGTGTGTGTGTGTGTGTGTGTGTGCGTGCCTAAGATCCCAAAAGAAGAAAGGAGAAGAAGGGATTGTGGTGTGGCCATTCCCCCTGGAAGGTGATTTATTGCTTTCTGTCCCTCTGTCTCTCTCTGTCTTTCTGGCAAGTGCACGTGCCGTATAGCAAAAACCTCTCAAAAAAAAAAAAAATCCCAAAAAACACGTGTACGTGCGTGTCCACAATCCTAGGAGGAGAATGGAGGACAAGAGATTATGGCGTGGCCATCCCACCAGGGGAGTGATTTCTCACTTTGTGTCTGGCAAACTGACATGCCCTAATAGCAAATATCTCTCCTAAAAAAAAAAAAAAGAAAAGAAAAGAAAGTGTAACATCAAAATCGAACATTTCTTCTGTTCTACGACACAGCTGAATGTATGACATACAAATTGACTGGGGAAAAAAACAGCTTTTTTGGAGAAAAAAACTATCGCATTAAATGTATACATACTGCGCAGGAAAAGGACAACTGAAGATCTTCTGCCTAGCCTTTATCCTCCTGCCGCCCAGATCTAGCCAGGACAAGCCAATCACCAGCCATCTACATCTGAGTTCTGAGCAGCCCCTTTCAGGGAATACGACAACTGAAGAGCTTCTGCCCAGACTTCACCCTCCTGTCCTCTTCCCCTCAATCTAGCCAGATTAGAACACCCTATTTATTCTCTCTATTTTTAATTTTCTTTTTTTTTTAATTTTTAAAATTTCTTAGCTCTTTGACACTCTTTTATCTTGCTAATTCTTACCTTTTCCCCTGCCCACACAGGACAAACCAATCACCAGCCATCTAAATCTGAGTTCTGAGTGTGCTGCATGATTTTCATTTTTTGCTTTAATTTTTTTCTTTTTCCTTTTAAAAAATTGTTTCTGTCTTTTTCTCCCTCTTTTCTTTGTTTGTTTCCTTTTCATTTTCCTTTCTCACTTTTCTGTTCAGCTTCCACACAATGAATTTCTAGACAGTAGCTAAATATCTGAATACTTTTAGGGTCCAATTAATCCTCAATTTCCATGGAATCTGCTGCACAAAAGGAGAAAAATGGTTCTGCTTAGAGATTGCAGATCACCTCCTCCTGCAGGTCTTTGAATGCTCTATAATCCATAAGATGACTAGAAACCATTGCAGAGGCACAAGAAAAATAAGAAACAAACAAAAAAAACCTCTCCTCTAAGGGAAAAGAATAACTTCTCATCCTCCACAGACAATACAAGGGAACTCATGGAAATGTCAGATGAAGAATTAAAAATATTCATAGTGACAAAGCTAACAGAGATACAAGAGAAGAGAAACAACAAACTCCAGAAGATGCATAAAAAAGAGACAATGAGTTCCAGGAAGTGAGGAAGTTCTTGCATGATCTGAAAGAGGAAATACACATCATAAAAAAGAATCACATGCAACTGTTAGAGGTGAAGGCTGTAATGCAGGAAATAAAAACCTCCCGTGAAAGTATTAAAAGCACATTAGATCATGCAGAAGATCGAATCTCAGATGTAGAAGATAGAACCTCTGACCTAGAAAAATTCACCAAAAAGACTGAGAAAATAACTCCCCCAAATTAGTATAGTACACGAATAATACAAGATACCATTAAATGCAACTGTTAGAGGTGAAGGCTGTAATGCAGGAAATAAAAACCTCCCGTGAAAGTATTAAAAGCACATTAGATCATGCAGAAGATCGAATCTCAGATGTAGAAGATAGAACCTCTGACCTAGAAAAATTCACCAAAAAGACTGAGAAAATAACTCCCCCAAATTAGTATAGTACACGAATAATACAAGATACCATTAAACACCCAAACATCCAGATGATTGGTATCTCAGAAGGTGAAGAAACTAATAAGTTTCTATTCCATTAAATCCTGGAAGAAAACTTTCCAAACCTAGAGAGGCACTCAAATATCCAGACCCAAGAAATACAAAGGACCCCACACAGAATCAATCCAAGAAAATCTTTC